ACAATTTAAGGAGTAGGATTAAACAATGGGATAATAAGTAATTTGTATATTTGTAAAAATAGTAAAATAAAATATTTTGGAATATAATATTATATATATATATATATATATATATATCTTATATATGTGCCGATTAATATATATATTATATATTGAATATTTTATTTTGGTTTGTCATTTTAATTATGAAAATAATTAATTTGACATAAACTATTTAAAGTATATTTGTATACTTGTTTAAAATGATATTGGTATTTTTATTTGATTTAAAAACTAATTTTATATTAATTTTTGGTGTCAAATAAAATACACTTTGAACATTTAAGTGGAGAAGAATTTTGAAAATCCTTCTCACAATCACAATCATATTTCTTTCGGCCATGTGATGTTAATGGGGACAAAATTGTTTTGACTTTGCATTTTAAAGATGTAGGAAATTTCCTAATTTGTCATTAAGTGTATGATTGGTTTTTAAAATCCTCTTTAAATAATTATACACTATGTTCATTGTTAAGGAGTGAAGGTGATTCGGCCATACTATTTTCAAGAGAGAAAATTATTTGTTTGGTTCCATTAATATCATTTTGTGTATAGAAAATATTTATAATATTTTCTAAATATTATTAGAAATACTTTCTATTGAAATATACAAGATTATTATTATCCCAATTTTAATCTTTATATTTTATACCGCTTGCGGAGAAAGGTATAAATTTCTTACTCACTATAAGTTTTAGTACGTGATTCTGGACAAGATAATCATGTTAGGATGTTAAAATTTTTTATATTCCGCTGCCTATCCTTGCATGGTTACCTTTCAGTGGTATCAGAGCCAACGTACAAAACTATAGTTTTACGTTTGACTTTAAAAATTTTAAAAGTCAAAGTTTTAACTTGGTAATTATTAAAATTCAAAAATTGGTAAAATGATTTTATTTAGTCTTAGAATAAGTATTGGACTTAAATAAATCATTGAGAATGAGTTTTAAATTTATTTATTTGATTTCTACCCGTAATATATATATAAATACATATATTTTGATTTTTCGAAATATATATTTATATATATTGTAGAAATAGTAAATATAATTTTATTTGGACATAAAACATAATTTTATGATTGATAAAATTATATTGTAATTTTTGAATGCATTATTTCCTATTTTGAATATATTGTATTTATTTAGGTCAAAACCGAAAATAAATATGGAAAATTCAAAATGAACTTTATTAAACTTGGAAATATTATTTCTAAGTTCAATAAGTTTGTTTATAAATATATTGTTCAAAATAATATTAGTTAGTAATTAAATAAATATATATTTATATATGTACTCAGTTTTATTACCGAAATATTATATATATTTATATATTTGTATTTTAATTACATAAATGACTAATATGTATTTTGGAAAGTTATATCTCAGTAAGAAAAATAATGTTTTTCAAAATATTAAATTTTTATAACTTATTGAGATTTAACTAATATATTTTGGAAATAATGATTTATAAATTTTGGAAATTTTATTTCCAGGTTTATAAATGTTGAAAATAATTACTGGAAGTTGAAATTTAATTTTCATGATTTTTGCAAAATTGTTTCAAAATTTTAATGGCCTTTTTGAATATAATTTTGCAAAAGGGAATTTTGGTCATTTGAAATATTCTGGAATTTTTTTTTATGCTGGCCGAATATCCAGATTATATAAAATGATTGTATAAAATTTTATTAGATTTATTTGGACATCTAATTTAATTTTATGAGTTTTAGAAAATATTTACTGCCGTAGTATTTTTCTAGAACTGTCTGGGGTGAGTGCGGTTCACCCGGTGTATGTATATCTCTATTGCTTGTGTGGATGTATGATATGCATGGTGGATGATTGTGGCTCTAGTTTATTTGATTATAATACGGCCTGCGTGTCGTGCCTTATCTCATAAACTCTTGTTGTAAATCTATTTCTCTCTCTTACCTCAACCGAGGATTCTTTTCTCACGTGGTGGTGAGAAGACGAAAAGATTTGAAGACCGTTTGAAGAAATCTAAAAGAATGGAGATAGCCCGAAGTCCAAGTGCCCGGAAGCCAGTGGGAGCTATCGTTTTATTTTTCTTTTAGGGGCCACAATCATTACACGTTTATTTACTGCGTTTTGTGAATGCATGTTGAATGTATGTTGAACGCTAGTAACGGACATGTGCGCGGCCATGTCGATAGGTGAGATCGAAATTATAAATCCCTCACGAATATTAAGTCTGTTGCCTTCTGACGCCCGACACCTATCCGGCTAATGTGCACTGTCATGTACTCAGCCTCAGCAGAGCATAGTACGGTGCATGTTAAGCTGGTTACGGGAACCGCCATAGCGTGGTCGCTGTCGCACGTTGGGTTAGACTTAACTGAGTCTCGGTCAAATGGATGGACGACTCAGAGGCAGTAAATTGGGGTCATCAATGACAAGTCGGATGATTTTACTCACTCATCCAGCCAGGAGTTGGATCTTTATGATTTAATTGGAACTCTGTTCCTAACCAAAGTAGTCTGCTTGTAAGACGTGCCTCAGCCAATTACAAGTATGGTGAAAAGGTGTCCTGGTCCGGTTGTAGTAATATTATTCGCCCAACACTAGACCAAGAGCTGAGAGCCCGGCTCATCAGTTGGAACTATGTTCCTACCTAAATAGTTGTCTTATGGAGTAACGCCCAAGCGGAACGCAAGATAATGAAATATGGATCTTGGCCCACTAGAGGTTTCGCCGGAAATCTCCGAATCAATATCGAGGGTTATTGATTTGTTAAAAATAGTGGGAGATAATTAATTAAAGGCCTAATTAATTACTAAACATGATAGATAACCTAGTTTGCAAAATTTTCTGTAGATGGCAAACAACAACAACCCTTTCAACCTGCGATATGTTCTAGAAAAGGAAAAATTATCTGGAACCAACTTTCTTGATTGGGAGATGAATCTTAAGATTGTTCTCGAATGCGAGAAAAGCTCTACGTCCTTACCTCTGAGCCTCCCAAAGCTCCTGAAGCGAACGCCCGTGCTGTAGAAATTACTTCGTACAAAAAGTATGAAGACGACGCACGTGATGTGAGATGTCTCATTCTAGCCACCATGACCCCGGAGCTCCAAAGGCTCCATAAGGACATGGAAGCTCATCCTATGATGACTCGCTTGAAAGGTCTATACCAAGGCCAGGCTAGACATGAGCGTTTCAAAATCTCTACGACTCTGTTTTCCAGTAAACTGGCAACGGGTAACCCAGTTGGTCCCCACGTTCTCAAGATGATCGGTCAGATCGAAACTCTTGAAAAACTGGATGCCCCGTAGCACCCTATGCTGGCAACTGATCTCATCTTGGGATCATTACCAGCTGAGTATAGTCAAACTGTAGTGAACTTCTACATGAACAAACTAGAGATGACTATGTCTGAGCTACTGAAATTCCTCACAACTGCTGAGGAGAGTCTAGGGAAGGGCAAGGGTAAGTCTGTCCTGATGGTAGAGGGCAGTACTATTGCGAAGAAGAGTGGGCCACGTTCGCCGGCCGGGACCAAGCGCAAGGGTTCTAAGAAACCCAAGCCAGCGTCCAACTCCTCTTCGTTGAAACCCAAAGAAGGAGCTAAGAAGAAGTCTGCTGTATGCTATTATTGTGGCAAAAAGGGCCACTGGAGGCGCAACTGCGCAAAATTACTGGCAGAGAGGAAAGAGGGAAAGAAACCTCAAACCTCAGGTATCTTCGTTATTGAAGTCAATATGTCTGATATCACCTCTTGGGTGATGGATACTGGATGTGGTTCTCACATCTGTACTTCTATGCAGGATCTGCATGAACGTAGACAATTGACGGAGGGAGAGATACAACTAAAAGTCGGCAATGGCGCACTCGTAAATGCATTAGCCGTCGGAACCTATAGTTTATCTCTACCTAGTGGTCTTGTATTGCAGTTAAATAATTGTCTGTTTGTACCCAGTATGAGCAGAAACATCATTTCTGTATCCTGCCTTGACAAAGCAGGATTTTCGTTCGTTGTAAAAGACAAAACTCTTTCTGTCTTTAGAAATGA